TACATATTGTTCGCTTTCTGGAAGTTGCAAGGTCGTTTGTTCTTCAAAGTTTGCAAATACGTGGAAGACACTGGCGGGGATTCTATAGCAGTGGCCAAACGTAAAACGACTGCTAAAGGTCATAACACAATAAGAACACCAATACGTGTGCGAATGGCACAGAAACTAATTGATAAGAAAACCTGAAAGCCAAATAATGCCATCCATTGCATCCAGTTCATTTTATTGTCTTTTCACCTCAGTTTTCACTTTCCTTTTCCCACGGTAACCCTAGCGTCTTAGTGACATTATCGCCTTACTTCATGATTAAAAATATAAACATTCATAAATGCGTAATTGATCGATTCAGTTGTCATGTTCATATTCCACATTTAACTTTTCGCAAGATCTTGATATTTACCCATCTTTGTATTCGATTTCTCCTTGGAAAGGTGATATATATTGCTGATTTATCCGCGCTGGAGGTGTACAATGCTCACTATCCAGCCCTCCAAAGATTTCAAAATCGTTTACCCATCGTTAGTGGGGCGAATTACTCTCCACTCGGTATCCTCGTTCACACAAACGCTACGTAGACGCCTGTTGCTACTCTATTGCTATGTCCATGGCGTATCTTCATATGATCTCTAATTATTAGTTTCACCAGTGTAGACCTTTACAGGTTAGATCACGTTATGCGACTTCCACATTAATCCCCTCCCCCGTATTCCATTTGTAAGAAAGAAGTTCCACTCAGACAGCTTTTTCCTGATAACTGCTACTTTGGGGGAGACACTCGTGGTAGATACCCTTTTTTTTTTAAATCGTTTACCCCGAGAAAGGCGACTATGCTACAAGAACGCAGGTGAAATAGTCTTCAGTAAGGAGAAGTGAGGAAAGGAGCAGGGTTTAGGAAGAAAGAAAATGGCGATTGACGTTGCATTTAAACGTTTGAAAATTGTTGTTGACAGGGAATCAAAAAAATCTTTCCATGACCACTACAGACTCAACATCTTTTCCCAACAGTATTTAATTGGATTTTCTCTCTTTTGGCTTAATGTACTTTCTTCAAATACATTCGTTCCAGATTGCCATGACTAACGATTCCGATTCCATTTTCAAACATCCTCATATTTTTCTTCTAAATTATTTATTTTTGTTCTTTTCCAGAGAGTAATGTCTGATTCACAATGTCGTACATCTCTAAAACTGATAAGACGTAACGTTATTTTAGAAATGAAATGAAACTTGAATTCATGCAAATTTGATATTTGATGTATACAGCTAGAATATAAATAAAGCCAATCGCCAATTGATAGATATAAGAATTCACGAATTTTATTTGCCAAACTTGAAATAAAATCAGCGATCGAACAATCCTTATATATACACCGGCCAAAAAAAAAAAAAAAAAAAGGTGTGTGTGGGGGGGTTAATTACAAGTTCAGTGTGACCGAATTATTCTCAGGTAGACTTGAAGGATTAATATCCGGCCAAGGTGTATACTCCGGAAACAGGTTACTTTCCGGATAATAAATCGCTTCTATGACGTGAACTGATTGCACGTTTACGACTCGTGTCAAAACAACCAACTTACTGAAAGGATATTGTTCTATAATGACAAGTGCGTCTGCTATGAGGCGATAGCTAGAAGGTTAGTCTTGATGACCAGTGCTAAAGTAAGAAGTTCGATGCCAAGGTTCTGTGGTGGCCTTTTGCCAGACAAACTTAATGGTAATCACACAAGCATGCTTTCTAGAGAGCTGGGTCACTTTGACTTGCCTCAATGGTTAGTTAGCATATCTCTCTCGATCAGTTACGAGTAAGTTCGACGATCACTGGGTGCGCCAAATTTTTCAGCTTTGGGCCATTTCTAAGCTAGGCTTAGTAAACAGCTCGAGCACTTCAGCATGGTGTAGATCAATTATGTCCGACACTCACTGGGTCCTACATATTTCCCTCGAAAAAGTACTGGCCTGTCTATTTGAAACTCGTGCTATTAATAGGGTCACTGACAGAACTCTCAACATGAAGAATCTTTTTAGGTGATCTCGAAGAAGAATCGAAAATGCTTTGATTATTCTGACGAAGATTTAAATGAATATTGTTTTGAAAGTTATACATTATTTGGGATTGGAATAAAAAATATATATATAAATATCAATTTGATTAACTAACATTTATTTTAATCATTTCACTGCAAACAAGGCAATAAAGCCACTAAGACGCAAATGCGTGTTACTGAGTATGAGAGAATAAGAGAAAAAGAAAAGTTATTAAATATCGAGACCGATAAAAGAACAGGAATTAAGAAGACAGAAGAAAGCGAAGTGATTTTTAAAGATCAAAGTTAACTGGAAAGCAAAAAAACGTGAGGGAGTTCCGCCAGCGATAAGTGTGAGAAAAAATTGTTAGCATAGAACTTATGATTACGTCTAATCAACTTTCAGCTGTCATGAGAACTTTCCGCCAATCTAATTCTTCTTCTATGTGCCGTATTCGTTCAAAACATTGGCGATCATGACTCTCCACTATTTCCTCCCCTTTGATCTGTCTCTTTTTCCTTTTTGTTTCTATTGTCTGTAGAACTTCGTCGTTGCCAACAGGTCCGGTCCATGGTATTCTCAGCATAATTCTGTTGAATCAGATTTCTGTTTCTTCATCTGTGAAGAGATTGTCCAACATTCACTGCGATATAGGAGGGCTAAAATTATGGAATAGTTCAGCACTCTTTTATTTATTTCTAGTGAAACAAGTTTACTTAGTCTTTTGGAAGGCATATTTTACCATCTCATTTGTAACTGTGAGTTCAATCCCTGGGCAGGGCAATGTATAAATATCATCTTATTAGAGTGTTCGGGAAAATAATTACATATTTCTCCTATGTGAAGTATGAGTAAATCGACTATTGAGAACTATGGTTGAATTGTACGATATTAATTGTAGAATGAGTCCATTATTTGTTCTTTTCAAACAGTATGTTGTTTGAGGTGTACTTAAGGGTAAAACTTTTTTTTTTCATTATTTTCACAATGGTTTCCCTCCTATATAAAGTCCAAGAGCCACTCAAGGTCAACGGTTGCAGAGTAAGAAACACACTTATGGGGATAACTGAGGAAGATAGTGGTTAACAGGTTAAGAATTGTTATTGGGGAAGCATCCCCTTGGGAGTCGGTTCCACAAAGCAGCGGTTCCTGGGGTGTAGCTGCTCGAGTATAACATCTCAGAAGTGGTACACGAATAAGACGAGTGTGGTTGGCTACAATGTGCACGGCACGGCAAGTTTTAACCTTGAAGCTTAGAACTGGCGAATCTAAGCAAAGTGGTATGACGATGGAGTAACAAGATGAGAGAAAATAATTCGTCACTCACAAAGATGCGGAGAGATTTTCAAAACCGGATAATCAAAAATGGACATGTCTTGTGTTGACCATGTTTGCCGTAGTCTCTGAATATGGAAACCAGTGAAGTCCGTAATATGTTCTATATCAGAGGTTGGCAGTGAAGATTCAGAGAAAGTAGCGGCTGTTAAGTAATTCTTTAAGTCTTCGATATCAGGTTGGCAGTGGATATATTTTGGGACAAAAACAAAATGGCTGCGTTTATACACGTCGCATTGAATATTTTGAGCTTTCTGATTGGTTAACCATTCTATTGGTGAACTATAAAATGAGTCAGCTCATTTTGACTGACTCACTAGTACATATACGTATCCAAAAAACTGTAACATCCATATATGACAGCGGCGTTTCGTTTATTGTTTTTCTCTTTCAGTAATTATGCTGATGTCGTTACGCTCAGCTAGATTGTTCATGTTAATGTATATTTTACTTTTTGGCTAAAAAATATATATATATATATCCCAAATCCTACAGAAGTGTTTCTTATTTTCAATAATATATATAGTTATTTATATATTACTATATATTAAGGAACACATTTCGTATTCTACTAACTACATCCGGCATCAAGGTCTCTGATCGCGAGATTGGAGTTTTTTGAGGAGCGTAGAACCACCTCTTAATTGCTGTTGTTCCCTGGTTCTCTCTGACTCGGGGTGGCAGCACCTGTTAGGGTCTGAGCTATGAGCAAATAGTGAATCCCCAAACAAATATCAACAGTACATTTTTATAATAAAATAAAAATATTACATTTTTTATTAACTTTCCATTGTTAACTAATAGATCCGGAATTTCCTCCAATTATTCACCTGGTCGGCTGGGCATCTAGAATAGTCTAACTACCTCACTTCAAAAGGCTTAGACTCCCCCCCACATCAAATTAGTAGTCCTGGGTATGAGAATAAACTGCAGGAGATTTGGGGTTCTGAGGAGCGTGGAATCATATATTAATAGCTGTTGTTCTCAGGTCCATCCTAACTAGGAGTGTTAGCACCTGTTAGGGTCCCAGTTATGGGCAAAGAGTGGACATCCAAGCACAAACAAAACACTATGAAAGTATAAAATTATATTTTTATAGTAAAAATACCCGTAATACATTTTTATATAAAAAATGACCAACAATATATAAACTAAACAATACATATTTAAAGTAAAATGCCCAGCAATCTATAGTTGAAATCACAAAATTGTATTCAAAATATTTAGATTTTGGCATTAAATAACCCATAGAGCTTGACAAGCCACTAAATAAAATCAACCATCGTATTCCATTGGTTAGATGTAAATTCTATTAGGACAGTTTCTTTCCACTAAGAATTTTTTTTTGCTGAACCCACTCCCAAGGGGCTGCTTCAGTGATCACTACAATCTTAACCGATACAAGCCTAGGATTAAAAGTTATCTTCCCCATATATAACCATAAACTATGCTTCTTACTCTGTAACCCTCTACCTCGTGTGGCGCGTAGGCCTTGTACAGAGTGAACATTATTGTAAAAGTAAATAAATGAAAAATGTCTCTTAAACCCTTGCTATAAAAACCCATAGTAATCTGCCTATTTGCGTAAACATTAATAAAGGCCGAGTTTGTTCTCAAATTCTAGAAGCGCCATATTATAGTATGAATGAAAATTGCAGTTATAAATTTTTTGAAGTTAGCAATAAAATCGAGATCAATATCCCCAGGTCCTTTATTAAACATCTGATATTGCATTTCTTTTCTCGTTCTTTCTTTTGTTTTCTTGTAATGAAAATTTACATTGCAATTTCCTGTAAGAATCGTTGAGTAATTGCATGTGCCAGCTCCTTATAGAAACAAATTCTTCTACAAGGACAGAATAAAAACATGTATGTTAATTAATGAAGACACGTCAGTGGAATTTTGCGTTTTTTTTTTCAAACTAGTGTCTTTATCATTGGTTGTGCTTTCTTCAGCGAGATGTAAATCCCTAAGAGATAAAATGAAATTCATCAGGCCATCAATAGAGTTCACCAAGAAAGAAGAAAAAAAAGAAAACAAGCAATTCGTCAAGAAGAACTGCTAGCAAATTTGTATCAAGACTCTGTTAGCACCGTGAGTTCGATCCGCTCTTGATGCCACGAAAATATGACGCTTATCCAGACCATGCTATGCTTAAAAACAACGAAAGAATCTCGTATACAGATACAGTAATCAATCGTAGATTAAAATTGTGTGTTGATTTTCGAAGACATTTTCTTACTGGAAGAGTGACAAAATACATTCATTCTCCTCTAATTTCCTCTTTTTGTAAGTAAGTAAAAAAACAAATATTTTCTTACTTAAACTGGATCATCTATTTGAGATTTTATTTCATATTTTATTATTTAGGCTTTCTTTTTTTTTAATTCTTTCATCTTTGATTATCCTTCTCGTTATTATAAAAATATTTTTCTTTTTTTCTTTCTTTTAGAAATACTTTCCCATTTTTCTTCTTTCTTTTTTGATACTTTCTTTCTTTCTCTTAGCAAAAATTTCTTATTCTTCTTTAAGTTATTTCCTTATTATTAATTTTTTTTCTCATATTCCAAAAGAAACGCTGCTTTTTTCTTAATTTTTTTTTCTCCCTTTTCATCCTATTTTGAAAAATTTTGCATTTCTGTCTTACTTTCTTTCTCATACTATTCTTAAAACCTTGCAAATTTCTTTCTTTCTTTCTTTCTTTCTTTCTTTCTTTCTTTCTTTCTTTCTTTTCATAGCATCCTGAAGAACCGAGTATATTTCTTTCGTTCTTTCTTTATTCTCATATTATTCAGAAATCCGTGCAAATTTCTTTTTTTTTTCCTTTCTTTCTTCCTTTCTTTTTTTCTTTTTTTCTTTCTTTTCATAGCATCCTGAAGAACCGATTATATTTCTTTCTTTCTTTCTTTCTTTCTTTCTGCATTTCTGCATTTCTTTACTTTCTTTTCATAGCATCCTGAAGAACTGATTATATTTCTTTCGTTCTTTCTTTATTCTGATATTATTCAGAAATTCGTGCAAATTTCTTTCTTTCTTTCTTTCTTTCTTTCTTTCTTTCTTTTTTCTGCATTTTTTTCTTTCTTCTCATTCTACTCAGAAAATCCTTACACATTTTTTCTTTCATTATTTTTTCTTCGCATCCTGTTCTGAAAGAAAAGTCCTGAATGTAACTTTATGTACTGGAAATAAATATTTTCTTGTCTGACGTTATTGGCCTGTCAGTAAAAAAATATTTAAAACATAGAGTAACTCTTAAGGAGGCTATCCCATCACCAAGGTGCATAATATTGGAGATATTGCATTGCTATATATGTGGACGGGATCTGAACCAAGCAGTAATTTCCGACGGGGCGACTTCATGTCATAACGAAGTGTACAGTTACAACTGTATTTCCTGGCAATTCAAATACTTTATTCCTTGTATTTAATGTGGCTATTTGTTATTCTTCACATTAATCACTACTGAACTGTGTCAATACATAGAAAAAACAAATGAAAGAAACCCAGATCTTCTAAAACTATTTTTTCAACTCCTACAAATAATCTACGATTCACATTTTCCGAAGTTGAACCATCGTCAAACAGATCCATGCTAAATTCAGAAAACTATTCCAGAGTAAGTGGCCGCAATCATTGACTACGATTACCCTGAGCTCCGTTTCATGGACTTTCTTGAGTCCCTTGTTCATAATACAACCTCAATATTTACTATCTAACGTCCTAAAGATTATATAGGTGTGATGATCGATCTTTTAGCGGTATTGACGGCCTAAATCAACCCGCACATTTTTTCTTTACATATGTGTAAAAGGAGTTACTTCCCTTTGACTGGATTTAAAGTCTTTACTAAGGAAATATTTTTATCTGAGCTCATAGAAAGTGGAATGAACTCAAAATATTCACAGCGAGAGAATTGAAAGGATTCTGTAAAGTGAAGAATATGTTAATAAAGTTTTAGCTTCAGAAGAACTGAAGGAGTGAAAGTTCAATAATGTTTGTAACTAAGTTTCTGTTGCTTGTAATGCTCTGTAATGTTCTGTAATGTTTGTAATTAAGTTTCCGTACGTACGTGTATGCATGCGTGTGTGAATATGTTTTCATAGCGTCCGCCCGAAAGAGGTTGGAACACGATTTCTTAAAAAGCTACATTTTAGCAAGCGAGAGTAATCAAAATGAGAAAGAAGGAATTTGTGCCATTGTATTTATAATAAACGTAATCACGTAATAGGCTCAGCAAGGCATAGATAAATTTTGGCGGAATTGTATTTTTGTTCAGGTCAGGAAGTAGGTCGATGATATTCGGACGTAGTTTTAAACACGATTTTAATAGCAACTGACTAATGGGAAGCGATAAAAATATCAAGGGTCAGTGCTTCACTTTTTGCACAAATTTTGGCATTGAAAGAAAGTGATAGCAGCATGCTATAACCTAGTGATTCAAACGATCGATTCTATCCTGTCTGATTATTTGTGAGCTTGCATTCATATTTGTGGTGATATTAGTGATCGACCTAAGGGTGGAGATACCACTCAGACAAAACTGTCGATATTGGTATGATTTCTCTATTGTATACGAGTTAATTCAGATCGTGAATGAGCCTACACATATTCCGACATAGGATGTCATCACGCAAAGTTTCTAGTTCTTTATCGCACAACCATTCCTGAGAAATGTTTCTCTGTATTATATCTTCCCCTGGCTTCTTCAGTCAACAGATGCCCAGTTTCTTGTGACAATTTTTCGATTCAACAAAGCTGACAGGAATAGTTTCAATTTCTGAAGCTTATATCTCTAGATTCCTCAGAAATAGAGCACCAAGATTAATCTCTCTCTCATTTCTGAGTGGGTCTGTTCTTATATTGACAGTTTTTTACTTTACAAAAAGTAAGAACAAAGTCAAAACCCTATGCCATAGATCTCTATAAGTATTACTACCATCTTTAACAATCGTACTCAGTATAGCTATACCCGTGGCGCGTTCAGAACTGCTTGCAACTATTTCAAAGATGCTATTGAAAATGATCAGGTCCACGATGTATAGTCAGTTCCTGTTAATGTTGACAACGAACGTCACAGTTCCCGTGTGTTCGTGAAAATCATTTACAAGAGTATTAACATACGCAAACCATCTGTGTCTACGTATTACAGACCGTGAAGTTATCCTTGTGTGATAAGAATAAGCTTTTTGCAATGAACATTGCGTCAGACTCCCCTTTAGAAAAAAGAAACGCTTATCTCCTATATGTTTTTCCCTCTCACAGGTGGAGATCCCACTCAGACAAAACTATCGATATTGGTATGATTTCTCTATTGTATAAGAGTTAATTCCGATCGTAAATGAGCATTGCGTCAGACTCCACGCTAGAAAAAATGGATACTACCTGTTTTCCCGACTCTAGACTCTAGACTCTATATGTTTTTCACTCTAGACTCGAAAAATTTTCAAACTCATCAAAAACTAGTTTCTACGAATAAAATCCTTATTTTACATTGTATTGTTTATGTTGAAACTTGACTAATGCATGGAATAATAATGCAACACAAAAGGTACTTAGAACAAAATGTATTGAAACAAGAAAGTGTACACAATATTTACATATAGTCTTTTGTATATTCCTGGTAAGACCGTTCCTGGAGAATGTGTTGACTGAGTCGCAGTCGGGCAGAGACTCTGGTTGAATCTCTTGATTACTCCCTCTCTTCCCGGTACCAACCATATTTATATGGTCGGTACTCCACTATGCAAATTAGGTGAATCCTACCACAACAGTATATAACCTTAAACCCAAGTTATCTCCAACCCTGCCAAAGTTGATGCATCGCAGCTTGAAAGAGAAATTTTCACAAGTCTGTGGAAGTGATCATCTGTTAATCTTGTTTTAAGTAATGCCGGTGATCGCTCGTATCTGTCGTAAATACGCCCCGACTGTCTCCTTAGTGCCATGAGCAAAGTGATGTTCATATTATCAACAGCTCACTTCTCTGGATATGGCTTACTAAGCGACAAAACGTATGGGTCACTCCTCTACATCCAACGCTGATATTTCAAATATCACTGTACACAAAATCTGTGAGACATAATGGTTTAGACATCCCAAAGGTTTTTGACAATGTGTCGTACAGGAGGTATCTGACAAACTCTCGAGTTATGGCGCCTCTGGAAGAGTCTACACAATTATCAATTTTCTTTTCTCTCAGAATTTTTGAATGAAAAGTATTTTAAAGACCATGAGATTAATACAGGCTTTCTCCTCAGCCCAATTCTCTTTCTGTCTATATTTTTTTTTATCATCGATCTGCCTGTGAATATTCGCAAAGCCTTAGAAAATATCTATGCTGATGATACAACCGTTTATGAAAGCACCTCCAATATTTGGAACCTTGCAAATGATCTCTTCGCTGAACTTGCACCAACGGTTCAATATGGCAATAACTGGATTCTTCCTTTCGTCACCGGCGATCAAAGTTTGAATTTTTCTCCAGTCCCGATGAGCGGTGGCATTCTCAATGAAGTAAGACTACTCGTATTCAGATTCACACCAGACATCAAGCTTTACTCACATACACTGTTGGTCAAAATCAAAATAAAGAACAAATATATCTTTTTCGTTGTTGACTCAACCATTTATTTCAGTAGCTTCGAAAAATGAAAATAAGGAAAGGAAGAATTAAAATTAAAATGATTTTAGCATTTAATAGGGAGAATTTGAATATCGGGATTTTTTTTTAATACTAGCTGGTCAAATGAGCATATTTAAATCTAGGTTTAATTGGTTAACGATATTTAGTTATTTTTGTTTAAGCTTTAGGACTGGCAACATCTTCCACTGGTATTTACTGCGTTGCATTAGGTAGAAACATAGCAAAAGCTAAAATGTTGACAAAGTTTGAACACGGCAGAATTTTCGTGCTGCAAAAGGAAAGTCCCAAGAGTCTAAAAACGCAAAAAGTATATTTTGATATTTATGATCTCAAGATTTTCTTTCCAGCGGTGTATATGGATCCAATGCTAAATATACTGAAAAGAAACGTCTCATTCTAGCGATCCAGAAATTCTTTATTTACTTCTGTCAAATTTATATGTCAGATTAAACCAAGAATGAAATATTACTGTCATATCTGGACCTTCCAGTCTTGACAGAATACAAACCCGTTTAGGTAATGTTTTGGGGTATGATTTATTTTTTCCCTCTGCAGAACATTTCTCTAAGAGCCAGTCTTGCAAGTCTATCGCTACTCTGTTAATATTATCAATTTAAAGGTTAAGATAAACGTCATTCTTTCATGCCAGTAGTTCATACCTTTACATCTAAGACAAACCATGCTATTTCCACGAATTCGGATTAAGCGGTATTTCCGAAATATGTTTGTGTTTGTTTTCCTTGCTGTCTGAAAAATCAGGGATTTGGAATATGGCATATGCGGGCAGCAAAATGTATTTTATATGTCTCATAGAATGTTTTAGAGGAATAAATTTGGCTACAGGAATGTAGGACGCCCATAGCTAACATACAAAGACAACGTGTCAACAGTCAATATACCACATAGCACCCTTGAGCGCTTAGACTTGGAGCGAGTATAATGGAGATCAACGTGTTTTATTGGACTCACCAATTTTTAATCTGCTTGTCTGAATCATCTTCAAGAAGCGAGAGCAAGATCTAAAAGGTCAGCCAATCTCACAGTGATCTCATCTCACAATCCTCACACTTGCTCCATATGTGGCCTCCTTTGTGAATCACTAGAGGGTTTTAATTGCCACTATATCGCACAAACTTTCATAATTGAAACAATAAGCTGTCAGATCCTCATACGTCGAAACCGATGGGTGAGTCCATTATATATATATATATATATATATATATATATATATATATAGTACAGGTAATTGATCCGTTGGTATATAATCCAGGCGGATCCTAGTAATAACAAATATTAAAACTGATCCACCGATTTATAATAACAGGATAAATATTTTTTACAACAAAAAAAAAAAAAAAAAAAAAAAAAAATTAACCCAATATAAGTATAGTGTATTTCAAGCTGGTCTGGACCCAGGCGTCTTCAGCTCTTAAGTGTTTGCCTGGTATCAAAATGGAGATATGGCGAATTAGGGACCCAAATCTGGGTCCTAAGGAAATAATTTATAATCCATTGAACCTTAAAGTTACCTGTTTCTTAATATATATATATATATATCTATATATATATATATATATATATATATATATATGTGTGTGTGTGTGTGTGTGTGTGTGTGTGTGTGTGTGTGTGTGTGTGTATATATATATATATATATATATATGACTTGGTATACTTATATGACGCTGTGTTTGAAATTGCGTATAAAATATTGATATGATGTGATTGGGTGTATTTATTGATCCTGTGGACGTGGTTGAAATGGCGCATGTGTATATATACAATGATACACACGCACACGCGTGACGATTGCCAGAAAGATTATATTTGGGGAGAACTCAAGGTGTTTAAGTAACACAAAATGGACATTTTAATCCCAATACATTAAACCTATCAGTTGCCCACCGTAACGAGACTGACCAAAAGTTTGACTTAAAATTGCTATTCTAATTAAAAGAGAAAACAATTCCGTAAGATGAAAATGTTTAGAAGGTGCTTCAATTTCTAGTTCATCGACAGTAAATTTGCGTCCAGGTTCTTATAGAGTTTGCCCATTTTTGACAGATGTTCCGTTATCACAATGTGGGATGTTTAATAACAAAGATGACGGATAATCAAACCCCTGCAAAAATCTATATAATATTCGCTAGATAATATTCCCACCGCAGAACAAAAAAACATATATTTAAGATATGAAATTTTTAGCTTCTGTTGGTTGCGCGCATGCGTCGTCGCATCAGCGTAAACAACAAACCTAGTCCGATGAAGTCATAAACGACGACACGCGTCACACGAAAACTTTTCAATTTTTTTTCCTCCAAAATTTTTCTTGATAAATTTTTCATTATCGCATGCATGCATATATATATATATATATATATATATATATATATATATATATATATATATATATATATATATATATATATGGGTGTGTGTGTATATAAGTATATATGGATGTATGAGGCCTGCCTTAGTCTGTTTTAGAGACAATTATAGAGTTTTTCTGTTACAAACTGTTTTTATGTATTTTATGTATATGCTTTATGCTTTAAGATATATATGCTGATATATATATATATATATATACACACACACACATATATATGTATATATATATATATATATATATATATATATATATATATATGTGTGTGTGTGTGTGTGTGTGTGTGTGTATGTTTGTGGGTGTGTATTTTTTCTTTCTCATATTATATATATGTATGTCTGCAGTTTTGTATTTATGTGAAAATATGCAATATTTATGAATGTAATCATTTTCCCTATTTCGGTGTTAAAAATGCGATTTTATGTGTCTGTGTGTGTGTCTGTGTGTGTGTCTGTGTGTAGTTTTATTCAAAGTCCGTATACATCTAATTACACTTACAAGAAAGTGCAGACGGATTAATTCCGAACAAATAAAATAAGAAAGGTCGACTGAATTAAATTCTCTGTGGCAGATGCCGGCCATGACTTCGTTATTAAATTATAACAATCTGGTTTATCAAATCGACAACCTCTTTAACCACATTTAGTAATATTTTCGAAAACTTCTTGTGAACATTCCTCTGGGCGATTTTATTTTTGACTTCCAGTTTTCTTTATTTTTTCTTTTTTTTAAATTGCTTTTACTATTTTTTATTTTTTTTATAATTTTTATCCTTTTTCCTCGTTCTTTCTTCTTTTTATTATTCTTTTTTTCTTTTTTTATGTCCCAGTCGTTTTTTTTTTGTATTTTTATTTAGTTAATAGAATTTTATACATGTTTTTTTTTTCTCCTGTTACAATCATTTGTATTTTCAATCATTTTTCTATCATATTTTTCTTATTTGATTCTATCTTTTCTTTGTATTTTCCAATTTCTCTATTTTTATAATCCGGCCTATTAAGTCTTCTTCTTTTCCAGATATACCCTCTTTCTTCTCCTTTCTTCGTTAATAAAAAAAAATGTCCACTGACATCTTTGGCGAAATTTTTGGTATTTTTACTTAAGTTTTATCGCACCATATTTTCTTGTTTATCCAGTTACAACTGTGTTTTCATCATTTCATTCATTCATTCATTCATTCATTTATTCATTCTTTCTTTCTTTCTTTCTTTCTTTCTTTCTTGTATAGATTTTATTCCCTAAAGTCAAAAATTACGACTTCCTCTTTCAATTTCCCAAATAATTTAATCGAGTCTATCTTGTTTCTTTCTTACAATCGTTCTTTCTTTTGTCGACCTTGTTCCCTAAGAATTACCAATACCTTCTTTTTCTCTTTTCTCAAATAAAGTTAATAAGTTTTTCTTTCTTTTTCCTTCTTTTTTCTTCCTTTTTTCCTTTTTTCCCTTCCATCCTTTCTCACTTTCTTTTTATTCTTTCTTTCTTTCTTTCTTTCTTTAGCAATTACATTATTTTTCATTCTTATAAGTTATCTTCCATTTATTTTGTTCTTACTCTTTCCTTAGCTTTATCGCAGATTCATCTCTTCTGCTTAAACCCTAGATTTTCTGTAACCTTTTCTATCCTCGTCTTCTTCATTTTATCCCCCCTTCTATTATTAGGTATTGAGTACCTCTCTTCATCCTAGCTCCTTTTTATTTATTTTTTTTTAATTTAATCACATTGGATGTGAACTCCAAAGCCAACATCGTCTGTCTGATGTTCCGGGGAAAGTCATACAAATCTATCATCACGTTGAATAGAAAAATGCAAATACGCAAAATCAATTGCATTGGACTTGCTGCGATTTGCCTTCCAAGAAAAATCGGAAGAAGACACTTTGTCATATTACAAGCATTCATTTGGATTGTTGTGGACATTACATACAGTCATATATTATTATTATTATTATTATTATTATTATTATTGTTATTATTGTTGTTGTTGTTGTTGTTGCTTCTGCTGCTGCTGCTGCTGCTGCAAATAAAATAAGAATGCCACCCATATATACGTAGATAGATATGAACAAACGAAGAAAATAGGTAAACACAGGAATAGATAGCTAGATAATATGAACAGAATGATTCTAGTGATCTGTTCTCTTTGGTAACTAAACCTTCTTGAATTTAAGCGCCATACTAGACTGCCAGCCATATCTTATTTTACCAGTGACATTGCTAAATTTGGTATTATAGTAGACTAGACTAGCGTATGTTGATAAATACTCGTGTATACACCATATTAGGATTTTTTTTTATTTCTACCACAGATGTTAAAAGTCCATCTACATTGTTTTCAAAAAGAAAGTGAAAATCCCTCAGGTTGGGATTAGTGTAGAATGTTTTAGATTTACACCAGTGTTTAGTATATGGCCTTTGCCTGATTTCGTTTTCTTCGGCTTGCGGGTTATTTAAAGACTGAAAATGTCCTGTTTTTTTGTAGATTTTACATTTTTTTATTTCGATAACTTCCCAAGGGTATTTGCGCATAAGGGAATATAATGGAGCCAACTGGAATTGGAACTCAAATCTCAGATTCACAATATATATATATATATATATATATATATATATATATATATATATGAAAGGCTCTTTGTTAAGACGATTCCAGTTTCCAGTCTAGCAACACTGATGAGCTGTGAAACAGACAGACAGTCTGTATGTGTATGAAAAAATATATATGTGGCACCTTAAAGGTACTGTTATACCTAAAATTAAAGGAGTTCTGAGTACGAACATATATTAGAAGAAAGTTCCACTCAAAAAAAATTTTCAAGGAACTACTCCCATATCAATGCTTTTCTTGAACTTTACACACTTATGTTTGGATCCATCGTTTTCTATATTTCTTATCCTTGTATTCTTCACGACCTACCACCTTTACAGACACATGTCACACCGCATACATACCTCTACCTTGAGGAGTTCTCGAGCTTTGGGTTGATTAAAAAAAAAAAGAAACAACGATAAACAAATTCTTCTTGTATTATTTAGAAATATTGATCTCATATTGATTGATATATATGTTGATAGAGACAACTTTTCTACCACATGCCCTTTTGATATTGATTATTGCGATATTCAGCCTGTGTGATATTAGTTATTGTTCGTTCCTGTTGAATTGGTGAGTCACTAACAAGGATTGAACTCACGACCACTAGATGACAGTAATACATATCTACTCAACACCTATATACACTACGCCACCGTTCCGAAGTTGTATGTTTTTGGAGCCTTTTTTTATATTCAGTGTCAGATAGTCTTTAACATTTGGTTATGATGGCGAATTCACAGCGTTTTTTTATAATTTATAATTTAATTTTTGTGATGATTACTTGTCATGTATAAAAGAAATTATATTGGGTAGAATTGGTTATTTATATGCGTGTTTAAATCACACTGTTTGATACTTTCCACTTCAAATCGAGGGTGACGCCGTTTTTCCTGCGAGAAGCGTCCGCTTCCTGCTATGTAGAAGAGCGTAGAAGCTGGTGAACAGGAAGTTATTCGTGATTGGACCGTAAAATATCAAACGAATACGAGTCGTGATACGCTATGTACATTATGAGAATAGTTGTAGCTGACGGATGGCACACGATACCCGATCAATACCATCACCGTAGGTAGAGGGTATGATGTTGAAAGACTCGAAGCCCCTAATGATTCTCGACTAAAACTATTGTTATTATCTTGTACATATCATGTACTTGGTCAAAACGCTGTGTCTATAATAACACTATAATAAGCAAGAGGGGAACAAAGATCGAAATAATAAAAGAATATTGATAATTACTCATTCCAAAAAGGTAATACTAAATTCTAAAAAGCGATACGAACCTGCCATAAAAATGTCAAAAAAGATATGCCATTGAATATAAAAGTCTAAGAATAAAAGAAAAGAAAAAAAACAAAAACAAAATGAACACCACTAATTTCTTTGGGGTGGTGGCGTAGCCTTACTGTCATCTAGTGGTCAGGAGTTAAATCCTTGTATCTGGAGGTGACGCATTATTTGAACAGGATCGAACAATAACTAATTATTTGCCGAGTTATATGCAATGCGTGATACATGTTTAGGCGATCATGTATCTTTCGATAGACGATGATGAGGCATATTTTTTCCTGCATTAGTTTGCCACTTCTTTCTGCGGTATACCAGTTGCCGTCCAAGTCTATAGAACCCGGTTTGTCTTGCTATTTACCCATAGATAGGGGAGAAGAAGTAGATTAATGCATTTCCCAAGCACATAAGTAATTGTAATGGATTCGATGGAATTCGAACTCGGCTCTCCGATTCCTCACACCAAGCCGCTATCCATTACTCCACCAAACTGATATCACTAGGACAAAATATCGCAATAAACAACAGATGTATTATATCACCCAATCAATAGACAAATGAGTACTTGGTCAAAACGTTGTGCATATAATAGCATCTATATCAACCAAGATAAGAACAATAGCTCGAAATAATATTGATAACTACTTATCTCGAATATGAAATGAAAAGTAAGCAAATACTTGTCCCACAAAAGGATATTGAATTAATCCATCAAGACGAAATATGTGTATGTTAACACCATGCAACTATTTCCGATCAGTAACCATGACAGGTATGGCTGGTGTAGCATAAACAGTGTATTTATTATTATTATTATTATTATTATTATTATTATTATTATTATTATTATTATTATTGATGCTTTGATTTCTGTTGTATACACATTTCCTTCCAGGTTCCAACAAGAGACTTAATGTCAGAAATGGTTTCATGAGATTTTCCACTGATCATTTTTGTATATAAAAAAATAAAATAAGATCACACTTATTTTACATACACAAAGATCTTCACAATTCTCTTTATTTCTTTAAGACATGGGCTACGAGGAATCCCTTTAATGAGTCTATTAGACCTTTTTCCAATCAATCCTAGGGTTCCAACTACAAATGGAATTACTGGTGTCCTCATATGCCACATTCTTGACATTTCCACTCGAAGATCCTTGTATTTTGATAGCTTTTAGAAGATCTATTATAATCTGTTTGGACTGCCATGAAACTAAGAAAGCATATTTTGATTGTGCTGTCTGGGCAATTAGCTTTGATTTTTCTCTCTCTGTGTATTGTAAAGTTTCATAAAATTGTTAAAGTTCCTAAATCTGTAACAGGGTCTGAGTGATGTTCGTTCCAGTTTCTTGCATTTTTTTTAAATGATGCATATTTTCCATTGCAGATATTGACCCACTCTATTCTGCCGAGTTTTATATTCAGTTGGTGCCAATACCGTGCAACCTGATACAAGGTGGTCAATTGTTTCTGGATATTTCTCACAGAATCTGCATTTCGGTTTAACACAATTTTCAGTATGTGTGCTTGGTAATTTCTAGTTAGCAAACATTGGACATGTGCAGCAAGAATTAAAACCTTAGGTTTCCGCTTTTAACCATGCACTCAGTAACCACAGATGCCTACGGGGTTTGTCTACATCAGTTTGTTTGGTACGGACAGAGTATTGACGATGGCGACGCTTACCTTGCCATCGTTTCTGCATTTGGTGCATTGCATTTAAGTTGGTTTCTTTTTTTTAGTTTATTTGCTATCGAAATAGGTGCATTATGGTTTGTTTGCACTTCTACCCCCCAATTTGAAGTTGTTGGCTTCTTTTATTACTGAATAAGGTTTCTTATTTCTTTCATGTTCGTTGACACAGTATTCTGTAGTTTCCAGTTATCCTTGAAGACCGATTGTTGTGGTTTTGTAAGAGAGTTCTAGTTGAACTAATCCTCTGCCTCCTTCAGATATGGGCAGACGATCAACATCAGAATTAGGATGATTCATATGGTGGCATGTGAGAAGCTTTCTCGTTTTGACATTCATTCGCTTAATCTCAGCTATGGTCCAAGGATGTTGAAACTGCATTGCACCACAGGGACAGCCAACGTGTTTATAGCTGATATTCTGTTATGTGAATTCAATTTGATATTTAACACGCCTACAGTATTCTTTTTTTTACTTTCTCCATTTGGGTATGATATAATCCATCTCCTATTTTGACTCATAGATATTTATAGGTTTCTTCTTGTTCCTGTTCCGCTTTGTGACAAAATCTACATCTATTGTGTGTGTTTTTGTAATTCACCCTTTCTTGAATGATACTTTGCACATTTATTTAATCCGAAATTCACACTGATGTCATCACTGAAACATTTACAGTATTGAGGCTACACTTCAACACATTGTCGGCTTTGGTGAAGAGTTTGAAGAGACATCCATGTAGAATAGGTGACTAAACACATTCTTGTTTACTTTGTATCGATAGTTATTATTTTTAGTTCAGCCGAAGGGGTAATTAAAGACAGACAGAGCAGGCTTTACGTTAATCTATTATTATTATTATTATTATTATTATTTTATTTCCTTTCATTTCTGGTGCGTACACATTTCTTTTCGGGTCTCGCCCAGATACCTAAGGTTAGAGATGACATCATGACATTTTCCACTAACAAAAAAAAAAAAAAAGAAAAAAAATTATATAGACAAAGCCCTTCGTAATGTGTGAGAACAAGTTTTTGGATTTCTTTAAGGCATAGGTTTCCAGGAATCCCTTCAATTAGTCTACTGGAATTTTTTCCAATCAATCCGAGGG